AAAGTTATATGTGCTTGCATTTTTCGATACCAACAATTGGGTCCCTTATTGATCATTTCAAATTGCAAGCATCAAACCTTTTAAATGAAGAAGTTGACCATGGATACACTAAGAATATCATCAATAACTCATCCAGTTTTCAGCCGTCTATTTTCTAAGCAGGAAATCAGCTGCACCATGCCTATTCTCGTTGAATTGATGGTTAAAATAAGAATAACAACAAAGAACATGGGAAAGATTTGGAACGAACGGAAACACTGTTAATGATAAATAATGAATCGATCCTTCATTCAAAAAGATGATAATGTTGATACATGGACTGTATAACATCAGGCACACACATTACAAACAGCCCCTAATATCAGCAAGCTCTTTGATATTCCAAAAATAAGGGGAATCAGGCAACCAATCACTAAAATGATGGCATGTTTTGCTCAAGTAAATGATCTAAAAGGAAAGCATATTTCTTCTTCAGGCAATCAATGTGAGTTCATTTTTTTTTTTTTTTTTATTTCAGCCGGATCATGAAAACTCAGGTTGGTTCTCCATGCATAAACAAGGATAAGGTAATCATGAAAACTCTTGAGATTTCTTGCTAAAAAATGATTACAGCGCACCTTTGTTACGGATACACCTCTGACCCCACCGAATAGAAAGCTTGCTGGCTAGTGCTTCTTAAGCGCGTTCATTTTGTCCCTAAGATAGTAAAGCTTAGCCCTCCGCACTTTCTTCTTGTCCAAAACCATAATTTCTTTTATGTTTGGTGAGTATCTGTCATGCATCACCCACTTGTTTAGTCATAAGCAAAGTGCTATCAGAAATAGACATACACAAGAAGAATAAACACATGTATGTTCATATTAATACACCAACTTCAACACGTGTGATCGCAGCGTTCATCATGTTCTAATACATTTGTATCAGATTTTTAAATCAGCATTTACTTACAGAGGGAAGAGGGATTCAATCCCAACACCAGCAACTAGCCTTCTTAATCTAAAAGTTGTGTTAAGACCTGCATTTCGTCTTGCTATTACAATGCCTTTCAATGTTGAGATTTTTAAATCAGCATTTACTTACAGAGGGAAGAGGGATTCAATCCCAACACCAGCAACTAGCCTTCTTAATCTAAAAGTTGTGTTAAGACCTGCATTTCGTCTTGCTATTACAATGCCTTTCAATGTTGAGATTTTTAAATCAGCATTTACTTACAGAGGGAAGAGGGATTCAATCCCAACACCAGCAACTAGCCTTCTTAATCTAAAAGTTGTGTTAAGACCTGCATTTCGTCTTGCTATTACAATGCCTTTCAATGTTGAGATTTTTAAATCAGCATTTACTTACAGAGGGAAGAGGGATTCAATCCCAACACCAGCAACTAGCCTTCTTAATCTAAAAGTTGTGTTAAGACCTGCATTTCGTCTTGCTATTACAATGCCTTTCAATGTTGAGATTTTTAAATCAGCATTTACTTACAGAGGGAAGAGGGATTCAATCCCAACACCAGCAACTAGCCTTCTTAATCTAAAAGTTGTGTTAAGACCTGCATTTCGTCTTGCTATTACAATGCCTTTCAATGTTGAGATTTTTAAATCAGCATTTACTTACAGAGGGAAGAGGGATTCAATCCCAACACCAGCAACTAGCCTTCTTAATCTAAAAGTTGTGTTAAGACCTGCATTTCGTCTTGCTATTACAATGCCTTTCAACTAGCCTTCTTAATCTAAAAGTTGTGTTAAGACCTGCATTTCGTCTTGCTATTACAATGCCTTTCAATGTTGAGACTTAATCTAAAAGTTGTGTTAAGACCTGCATTTCGTCTTGCTATTACAATGCCTTTCAATGTTGAGACACGTCGCTTGTTCTCAGGTACTTCCTGTTCACACAAGACAGCAAAAGCCAGAAAATTGTTCAGTAACCTCATCTACAACTGCTGATATAGTATTTGACTGAAATGAACTCTACCACTTTGAGCTGCACAATATAGCCTGGCTTTATATCTGGAATTTCTCTCTGTGCTTTTTTTACCTCCCCAATAGCTTCCTTATCTAAAATCTGTGGGGAAAAGAAAACAATATATCGAAATCAAACAGACTGGACAATAAAATGAAATTACTTCTTTTCCAAAAGTACTCAGAAATGCGAATACCTGCATTATGTGTTTTGAGGTTTTATCAAGCCGCTTAAATTTGATGCGAGGAGTTATATCAGAATCAACTGCGGGAGATCCTTGTGGAGCCGATTCCGTTGAACTTGTCGTAGCAATACCCCTCCTAGAAAAAGGAGCTGCAATCTCTGCCAACTGATATGAATGTGGCCTAAAACTTTGGAATGCTGAACAAGATGAAGATATATGATTGCTCGAAGGCACACATTCCATTTGAGAGCCCATACTTCTCTGCTACATAGTTGATAAATTGTTACAAAGTGATATATTCCAAAACAAACTCTTGAATAAAAAGATATTGCTTCCAATGAGTACCCACAAACCAACAGAACAAGGAAATTAATGAAAGGCTCTTCAATTGGCAAGGATCATAGAAGCAAAGAGCTATAACCACTTTTTTCTTTTTTCCCTTGAAAAGGGACATCAGCTCGACTTGAGCTAATTATTTTTCGGACTAATTTGTTGTGAAGGAAAATAGGATACATAATAACTACGTGTTCGAGACAACAGTGAAGTTCATAGTTCTGTTGATTAAGCCATAACTGAACTCAGAAGCCATTTCCAGCAAATGTACTCATCTCTACGTCACTTTATATCAATAAGACATTTAGCACCAATCCCGTCTGGTCGGTATTAGAGACACACATACATAATGTACACAATTGATAAGTTACTATACATATTACCCGCTCCCCTACCGTCAATCAGGTGTCGGCCAAGACCGATATCATGAGATTTACTTGTGCCTCATTGCTTATGAACTCAAACAAGAAGCATAAATGAATTCGTAAAAGCTTGGAATTCGAACTAGACTAAATGTCGCAAATTATTTATGTATAAAACCAACGTAGATTTACTGAATAGCTATAGAACCTTTGAAAACAACAAGAACATATCATACTACATAATGCACAAAATATTTAAACAAACAGAAATACATACAAAGGCTTCCGGATTTTGATTGCCCACTCAAAGACGCATACGGGTTCCCAAAACTACATTCCATCGACCTTGGCGCCGAGCAGCTACAGCCAGCATCCCCATTTAGAGGATAACCTCTAATCAATTTGAAATGAGCATCGGGACTTTGCCTTCGTACCAATTGATTAATTCTGCGAAAACCTTGCATCTTCGCATTTGATTTCCAGTTGCATAACCCACAGAAAGTCCATGAGCGATGAGTAATCGAAAAAAGCCTTCATATAAATGTTACAAAACTAGCAGGTGAGCAGGACCATGGAAATGAAGCAGCCTATAAATATTGTAGCTTAAATGCATATTGCGGTGATCACGATCGCTTGAAATGTCGGAGCTTATTCTAGATCACCAGTAAACACGAAACTCGAATCAGAATGTCCCAATTTGCCCCAAGGAATTCATACAACTCCATTGTTTTATTAGATAAGTTCTAATTTGTGATTTTCAAGTGAGAAGAAAGACCGTGGAGATTGGAAGAATACCAGTAACAACAAGAGAAAATCAGCGCAAACTCGCTAGAAGAGAGAGGGTGCGGCGGCACGAGCTGAAGAAAGAGGACGACGGTGGCAGCAGTGAACGGTGGAGGACGCCGCCGGCTACACTGAGCTGCCGAAACGGAGGAGATGATGGATTTGAGGCAGACGAAAAGAGTTATATAATTTTACAAATTCATTAGGGCTTTTCCGCTTAGAGAGTCATGAATTCTTGATATCTCGGGTTAGAAATGTCTCGTCACAGCCAAGTAAGTATTAGCCGTTTGATCAACGTTATATAATGATTTGATTGAATTGAGAATTATGTCTTGGGTTGGTTGATAAGTCATAGATAGATTGACTTGACTTTGATTCCAGTTGTGTTTGACCAATGCTAGATAATGGCACCGAAATTAGAAACCGTGCAAAGTAAGGTCAAGGTAGTACCTTCGAGGTTCCAAAAAGGGAGGCTCTACAAGAGTGGGAGCCAAAACGAGCAGCACCCATAATCGGGAACGTTGCCTCGCTCGTTATGGAAGCCTTGCAAACCCTAGATATCAAGTACCTAAAAAGCTTCAAAAAGTATGACCCACTAACCTTTGATGGCAGCCACGGGACCCTACAGTTGTAGAGTCATGGTTGAAACCAACGGAGATCCGTGTGAATAAGCTCTCATAAATATAATGGTGACAAGATCATGAATCATTAGAGAAATAGGCAGTCCTCATCGACCTTTTATCTTATAAATGCATCCTTTCATAAATATGAGTTTATTGCATGTATTAGCCCTTGAATTACTACAGCTATCAAACAAGTTACAACTAATTTAACGAGCTTTTCACAGTTCACAGTTTGAAATAGTTCGTATGGAGGTTGCATGCACTAGGGCTTGCGAGGGGTATGCACGGGCTTTCAAGTTCATCGTGCACCTAACGAGGGATGCCGACAAAAAGGGACTAACAAGACTCAATGCCATAATGCATGAGGTAATCTATGCTAGATCCCATAGACTACGACCACTTAAAATTCTTATGGACACATCACTGAGGAGGAGCTATCGTCAACAATTCGATGCCCAAGCATCAAGCCTATATGGCCATGTGCCATATGCTAAAACAAGACTAGGCAACGACCGACTATCCACACTCCTGCTTCGACACCTGCATGCTCCTGGCATCAGTCAATAGGCTCCCCATTCGACCTGTCTTGAAATAGAGACCAAGGAGTTTGACACGTGTATGAGTGAATGGGTGGGTAAACTCGTGAGGTGCAAGAGAATGGACGGATGGGATCTTTTCATAGGTTGCACCACCGACGACCTTGATCTTTTGGGAACGGTTTCAAAGTTTAAATGGTAGGGGAGTGTAGAATAAAGAGAGAGGAAAACTTTTTTTTTTTTTTTTTTTAATAAAATTAGAAACTTTTTTGCAGTCAATTCCCAAACTAATCCCTTATTGATCGGCCATCGCCGCTCCGAACGTTCTTCTTCGTCGTCGCAAAATTTCAAGGATAGGATTTCAATTCTTCTCTCCCGCCAGATTCCCAGTAGAACATCATAGATTTGATTTCCGCATATGGCTCCTTGAGATCCTCTTCAGTATCGGAGAATCAGAGGTTCAGAGAGTGACGCATCCACGATTCCGGCCGTGGCGGAGGAGAAGACGACGATGCGATTGGGGAAGGGACGATGAGCTGAGACATCGCATCGTGGAGAAATGAATGTGAGCCATGCGACGGTTCACCCGGCCGAAGATCCCCCTACTACCGACGGCGCGAATGCGCCCATGGTCAGGATGAAGGACATGGAAGGAATGCCCGGCACCCGCGGAGGACTCGCTTTGCGATTCTTTCAGTTTCTCTTTGCGGCGGCGGCGCTGGTTGTCATGGCTACTACCAGTGATTTCCCTTCTGTTACTGCCTTCTGGTAAATCTCATTTTTCCTCGATTGAACCTCTCTCTCTGAACTTGCGTTTCGTACAACTTTGTTGTGTATATTGTTACTCTATTTTTCTTCTATTTCTTTGGAAGGATAAGGCGATTTGTTATCTTAGTAGCTTTTGGATTTAGGATTCGTCGGGTTGGATCTAATTTTGCAAGAAATGGATTTAATTTTGCAGTGAAATAGATTCATTTACTTCGTTTTAATTAGGTTTGCTACTTGCCCACGCAATTATGATCGAACTTTCAGATAAGTTAAGCCCGAATTTTGGAGCTAATGAACAAGAATTCTGTAAAATGTATCGATTGGTTGTTGATGGTTCAATACACTGAAGAGGCAAGAACTTGGTCAGATTGTTGTTATGCTTTGTTGCCTGATAATAGTCATTTCTTATATGGTTGATCCCAGATTCATTGGCATTAGTATCTTTTTATCCTTGGAATTAAGTTTAAGGTTTATCTTTTTATCATTTACTTCATCTTCAAGTTCTTAGCTCGTGTATATGAATCTTATGCTTATTGAAGCTATGAAAAGTTAAATTTGCAGCTTGATTTTCTACACTTGGTCTTTATGTGCGTGCTGTTCCTTAAACAATCAAATCTTCTGCCTTTTCAGCTATCTTGTTGCAGCAGCTGGTTTGCAGAGTTTGTGGAGCCTCTTTTTGGCCTTCATTGATATATATGCTCTATTAGTGAAGAGATCCTTACAGAATTGCAGGATAGTCAGCTTATTCACTATTGGTGATGGTGTATGTTTATAGCAAAATTTTGATTTCGGCATCCGTAGATTCACTTTTATGTTCTTCAATATTCTGGAAGCTGATTGCTTTGCTGCATTACTAGTTAGCTCAACACCAATTTTCTTGGACTGGATTAATGAAATTAATGTGTTTTAGCATGTTAACCTTAAAGCCTGGTGGTATTCTCTTAGGTGAATTGGACTTTCGATTGTTGTTTCTTACATCAAGTTATGTACTGATATCACTCTCTGTTGCTGTTGCATATAAAACTATCATGATTGCAATCATTCTCATACCATAATAATTGAATACTTCGAGATCCCTTTAGAACTCGCACAATTTCTGCTGTCATTTTCTTTCGATCAATTATCAACTATGCACCTTTCCTGACTTGTCTGGAATTTCACTAGCCTAGCAGCTGACACCTGAACTTTTTTCCCTTCAGATCACATCTACCCTCACATTCGCTGCAGCTTGTGCTTCGGCAGGCATCACTGTTCTTATAGACAACGATATTGGTAGCTGCAGCGAGAACCACTGTGTACAGTTTGAAACTGCAACGGCCATGGCGTTTATTAGCTGGTTTACTGCGTTGCCTTCGTTCTTCATGAACTTCTGGTCTCTTGCATCCCGATGAATTTGGCTTGGCTCTTATTAGCTACTTTACTGCGTTGTCTTCATTCTTCATGAACTTCTGGTCTCTGCATCCCTATGAATTTGGCTATCAAACTTGAAAGATATTGTTACTGTTTCTTGCTGTTTTATGATGTGATGTTTTGTAGATGTCCTGAAATTGAATCTTGTAATGCCAATGTTCAGAATTTGTAGTTAAGGTGATAAATATGGGTGCTTTGATTTGGACGTTGGTTCATCACTTGATCATTCATTATTGCACTATCTGATGGCAATGGATCACATATAAACACAAAATATTGTAAATTTACTTTGGATTTTGGTTTCAGCAATGCATCAACATTTTCCATTCTTATCATTCAACAAAAGAATTTGATATCAGAATATTTCCCCTGCCAGATACATCCTTATAATTCAAACCCCAGGCAGATATATAGATAAGATGTTACATAATTGAAGAACCCCTTCCTATTTTCTAGGACTGTTGCATAATTTTCAACAAGTGTACAGGGAAAAGAATCACAAGAATGACCAGTTGACGAAGGAGAAGGCAAGACAGTGTACAGTAGACTCATCCTCGGTAAGAACTTTCCATGCAACGGTTTGTTCAAAGGATGCATGTCGCCCCATTGTCGACATGCAAATTCCAGCAGGAATGTAAGCAAAGCCCTACCGAAAACAAGTAAGTATTCAGTTCAGTTAGCATCATTACATTGTTAATCAATCTTGAAATAGTAAGTCATCATAAGTTTTCTTTATGCAGCATAAACACAACCAGCCATGCCAAGTCGAGCATGACAATGAACTGAAGGGAAGAATATAGTACGAAACCTGGTTGCATTAAGCTGGAAAAATCAGTAGAGAAGAACTTGCGGGCAGAATCGCCAAGAATTTGATCCAAAGTGATGTCTTGTAAGGCAACCAAGGTTATCTCCAACATGTCAAGGGCTGCTTGGTTAGCAAACATGAACACTGGGGGTAGTGACTGCAAACCAACAAAATAAATTACATTGCTTAGAGGACAGCCACACAACACAGATATTCATTTGGTTCTCACTTGCAGAGTTTGTTTATTCACCTCAAGAGAACAGCACAGAATTGCATCCCGATGCTTCCATAGGCGTTTCAACACTGATTCACCATCCACACTCTCTGAAGGCACCAGTTCAGTTCCAGTATGGCATCCGTGAGAGAGAGGTATGGAGTCAAGTTTATATTTTTATGGCTTATTATCTTAAATTGGAAGGGTAATTTTCTTTGATTGGTGGTTTCCTAAACGGTAGAATGATTTTTACCTTCAATGGGTAGTTTTCTGAGTTGGTAACTGTGGTTTTCTTCAATGGGTAGTTTTCTAATTTACACATTGTTTCTTCGTTCATTTAGGCTCTTGTATCCTCGTTTTAGATCTTGATTTATGCATAAAAAACCATTTCAGTCTGTCCTAATACCCTTTTAATAGATTGTTCTTAAGGAAAAACATGATTACATGTCTACATAGATGAGTGATTGGGCTCACAAATATGATGGGCATATTGGGTAAGTTTTAAAACATATTAAATTTTTTGTTCATATGGAAAAAAATATTAACATGCTTCTTTTTGTTCATATGCAGAATTGGGAACCAAAATAAGATTCTTAACAACATAAAACGTGAAATAAAGGAGATTAAGAAAAGAGAAAAAAACCTGTGCTATGGCAGATCCAGCGAGCTTGTGTGAGAGCTTCTGGACAAGCAGCAGATAATCGCTTTGGCTCCGACGACGAGCTTAATACAGAGGGCTTACCTTTCCTTTAACCAAAGGTTAAATTTCTTTACCATTCTATTTAATTTAGGTTTCATGTTTAGAATCATTCAAGCTTGACATAATCGATCTTGCTTGTGGAGTGATTCTAATCTCAATTAAGTGTTCTTGCCTTGAGATATTTGATTAACATTGTAATCCATTTGAATCTTACTTTCCCTTTAGAGTGATTCCTTATCACTAGGGCCAAGTGTTCTTACCTTTTCTTTAATCAAATGCTAAATTTGTTTACAATTTTGTGTAGTTTAAGTTGCATGTTCAGAATTATTTAAGCTTGACATGATCGATATTGCTTGTAGAGTGATTCTAACTTCAATCAAATGTTCTTGACTTGAGATATTTGATCAACAAGGTAATTCGAATCTTACTTTTCCTTGAAATGATTATTTATCATCAGGGCTAAGTGTTTTTACCTTTCCTTTAGCCAAAAGGCGAGCTTTTTTGCAATTTTATGTAGTTTAGGTTGGATGTTCAAAATCATTCAAGCTTCACATGATCAATCTAGTTTGTGGAGTGATTCAAATCTTAAACCGTTGTTCTTGCCCTAAGATAAGATATTTGATCAACTAGGTAATTCGGATCTTCTTTATCATTAGGGATAAGTGTTGTTACCTTTCCAACAAGTATTCTTGCCTTGAGATTAATCTGAATTTTACTCCCGTGTAGTGATTCCTTATCATTTTTGCTAACATAATAACCTCTATTCGCAATGCTGACATGAATAGAAAAGAAATGGTTCGAATACCATCTACTGGGGCAGGTTACAGAGTTCCAGGATAGGATCATTAATCACATGCATTCTCTGATTCTTCTTCTTTCTATAAAGGTTAATAAAATAGCTAATAGCTTGACCTCCTTCAATCAGGCAGGAAACGGGCAAGGGAAGGAGTTCGGTTCAGTACTCTCTTCTTTCCTCGACTCTAAAGAAAGGTGATTGAGCTGAAATTTCACCTCGGCCATCAATAGGTTTAGCCAGGGCGTTTATAACACGACCTAAATAAGCCTCGCTTACTGGTATCTGAGCAATTCTTCCCGTTGCTTTTACAGAACTTCCCTCCTGTATCAGGGTCAGAGAAGCCGGCCGAGGAAAAGGTTTAAGGAATCGGATGACGAAGAGGAAAGGTGCTCAGCTGCTCTCCGAGGATCGGAGTTTACTGTTCAAGCTCTTCAATCCGGTCAGGTAATAGAGTCAAGTCAAGGGTTCCGGAGCTCTTACTGTTAAGAAGGAGAATTGTAGAGGTGAGGGATTGAATATGCTCGACTGTAAAGCAGCTAATGTTGAGTCTTTCCTGTCCCTGAATTTCTTCAATGTAAAGGGGTGAAAGAGCTCGACCGAGAGGGAGAGGGGCGAAGCCCTGAGACCCGGAGGGCGAAGAGGTTCAAGAGCTCGACCGAGAGGGAGAGGGGTGAAAGAGCGAGACCGAGTTCAAGAGTGAAAGAAGGAAGAATGAGGATTGACTTCCAGTTCACTCTCATTGATTCTTCGAGAGGATTGACTTAGTAATTACCTTGACTCTCTTTTCCGGTCTCGGGGTTTCCCCCCTCTACAACAAGGGTTGAACTATTCTATCACTCTGTCTTCGTCTTCTCTCCTGCACCGTCACCTCTATTCCCTTGCCTGATTTATTGAGGTCAAAGTAGCTCTTTCCTTCACCGTACGGTTTCACAGCTTCGCTCCTTCATCTATTTCCCTTCTTCATTCAATCCTCAAGCAAGCTCTTCTCTGTCAGGAAATCCTCATTCTTCCTTCTTTCACTCTTGAACTCGGTCTCGGTTTCGCGCAGCGTCAGTAGTTCTCCCGCTTCCAGGATCAATTCTCCCGTTTGTCCCTCATAAAAAGAACTAGCAGGTTGATGGATCATTACCCTGATGATTTAATAAATGGTTTTCTCTATCTCGCATGGAGAACTAAGCTAAGTCATCAAGTCTTTCTTTCTTTCTACTAGCGGGGGGCGAGCATTCTATTGCCGGGGAACTCCTCTCGTTACCGGTCTAATGGCGGCTGGCTTGGCTCCTCTCCCTATCGTATCGGCTTTCATGGCTTCGTTCCGTAACCATTCTCCATCATTGTAATAATCACCAACTTCACTTTCTCACCCCTCATATGCAAGGGAACATCGTAGTTGCACCTTTCAGCAATAGAAGTCTTACCAATTCCCAATCCCGGAAAAGCTGAATGAGTAGGGAGAGGATCCAGAGAAGAGAAAGAAGCCGGCCGAGGTGATTGAGCTTGACCGACGTCCCAAGGAGTCTCCGTTCATCTTCGTTCAAGGCAAGGACACATTTGACCCCAATGTTACGCTGAATATGCAACAGCAATCCAAGGACGCATACCCAGACGGAAACTAAGTTCCCACTCTCGACCCATGTAACATGCTACACCAAGTAAGAAGTGTAGAACAGGTTGAGCCCTGGGATTTGACGGCGGACTTAAAAAGCCACCTACAGACGCTTTACGCCCAATCATTCCGGATAACGCTTGCATCCTCTGTATTACCGCGGCTGTTTACGGTTCGTTCAAGAATCATCCTCCCTCCTCTTTACCTCGTGTTTAAGGTCAGGGGGGTTCGGTTCCGTAGGAACTTTTTATCTTCGGATTTCGAAAAGAATTAGTAAACCCCATCAAAAAACTCTCATTCTCCTATCTCCCCCTTATTTTTTTGATTAAAAAGTCTATCTTTACCCTATTTTTGGGGATAAAAGAGAGTCAAGGTAATTCATTCATTATTAAGTCAAGACGAAACGAAACTCGCGAACCAAGTCTGCCCTCTTTTGATTGTTGGGCCCCACACCCATGGATGGAGTTTCTTTGTTCACTAGAATAAGCAGCAGATTAAGCGCGTTCACTGGAATAAGCGGATTAACCGCACTCTGGGATCGATAAGTGAGTTGGCTTCCCCTTGGNCGGAGTTCAGTCTCACCTTTTCATCTTTCTTTCTTCTCTTTTGCTTGAATTTTCTTCTTCTTCTATCACTGTAATAGGTTCTGTCTCATTCATCTTTCTTCTCCCTTCAAACTCTAATCAGTCCTCTCTTCCGGATGTAATGATCCCAGTTTAGCCCTTCCTTGTCCTGTAGCGAACCAAGTCTGCCCTCTTTTGATTGTTGGGCCCCACACCCATGGATGGAGTTTCTTTGTTCACTAGAATAAGCAGCAGATTAAGCGCGTTCACTGGAATAAGCGGATTAACCGCACTCTGGGATCGATAAGTGAGTTGGCTGACCTCTCTCTATTTACCTTATTCATTCAATGAAGAAGAATCAGATATTCCCTGAACTTTCCCCCGTCGAGTAAATTCATTCAATCGTTCACCTGAACCGGACCCTCTATTCCCTGACCTGATTAAACGAGGTAAGCGGGAAGGAATAATTAGACGAAAAAAACTATTTAATTTTGGTATCAATCATAAAAGCCAGTCTACAAGTGGATCCAGTAAAATAAGACCACAATCAAAGATACATCACCATTCTCAATAACAATAACGACTAACGTCAAACCGATTTATACCTACTCCTTAACCATGTCCGTAATTTTAATGTGGCCGA